CGAACGTCGTCGGGACGACCGCAGTGACTCTCATCAAGCCCGAGTGGCCCGTGGCCGGAAGTTGTTTTGCGATGCGGCGCTAAAGTTGCCCTATCGGCCGACCCTGAGGAAAAATGATAATCCGCCGACGATAAATGCGGGAAAAGCACGTGTGAAAAGTTTGCGACGCAACGTGCGAAACGCGAGGGAATGTCCGACACTTTTTGCGCCGACGACGTTTCTTGTGCAAAGAGAGCGAAGGATTACTTAAGATAGACGATATAGTATTAAAATACAGTATGAAATTACGCCGAGTCTGCGCTCTTATCTAATCTAAGAGCCGTGCGTAGATTCGTCTCTGCGCAGTCTATAACAAAACTGCTTTTCCGATATACGTCTTTCTCGTCCTCTCGCTCTTTTTCTTAATCTACTGCAGCTAAAAAGAACCTTGATCTATATCGAAAGTTGCCTCACTCGAGTCATAAAATTAAATCTGAAAAATTAATTAAAATTCTAATTTAATTTATAAAATGATTAAAATTAAAATTATAGAGAAAGATATGACGATCGACGAAAACATCTGATCTGGTCGGAACTTTTGCGAATAACGATCAAACAGGTACGAAATGGAAATGTATATGTCTTCGTGCACGGTTCACGGTGAGCTTCTTAGAATCCGGGTGCAAGGGCACTCGTCCGGTTTATGTAGAAGGCGCTGATAATATTCACTGGGCCGCGATGTTTTATTACGTCTACATACGCTGAAAGCGCGCTGATTCGCGGGGCCGCGGCCGGACTCGGTCAATCGGCGAACTGTCTCCGTTATCTCCGTCGGCGATGTGTATATTCTTGGTCCCGACCCGATAAATAATGTTTGGCGCATTACGCCCTGCACCGTAATATACAGGCGGCACGTGGCCGAGTTATCCACAGAGGTCAGGCCAAATTTACCAATCGCCCCGGCGCGTCCGTTCGATTCGTTCCTCGCCGCGGCCGCGTGTTTGCGGTTGCTTACCGGGGGAGCCCTCGATTTGGCCTTCGCAGCCGAGTTTGCAGCCTCGTTATCGGTCCTCCGAGAGAGAGAGAGAGAGAGAGAGAGAGAAAGAGAGAGAGAGAGAGAGAAAGATGAGATCCCGCGATTAAGTATACGGCGCCGCGTGATAACGGCGAAATCACGTCGGGATCGACGAGGATGTACAGCGCGATTGATTAAACCCGTCCAGACGGATCTCGCTTGCTTATTACGCGCGCTTTTACGGGGACATTATTCACTTTTTTTTTCCTCACGAGCAAAGAATTTATTATCTTTATACTACCTATACTTCACGTAAATTTGTGTCCGTTATCTTTTGTTATTAGATATCTATATTACGTAACGCATGTGCGTTATCAGTTATCTGTTTAGACGCTACATCTCGCAGACGATCGCGGTTTTCCTCGACCGCTGCCGAGCTCCTCGATTTAATCTACGCACTCTTTTCGAGTGGGAGATATATATATATATACAACCACAGGCAAGAAACATTTATTTACTCGGATCCGGGCGGAGATGGCGACGAATGGCCACTGATAAGCCGCCACGTCTAATTATACCCTCTCCTTGCTCCCGCCACGGTCGAGGCTAGGAGATCGTCCCCTTGCTCTTCCGAGAGGAGGGTTCACGTTACGATCCCGTGCTGTACACTATGATGTCAGATTGATGTCATTCGCGTGGCGGCTGGGCGATTCGACTTGGGCAAGAGGTGAAGAGAGAGAGAGAGAGAGAGAGAGAGAGAGAGCGCATGCTGCACGCAGCAGCCGCTCTCTGAATGATCATCAACGTTCACCAAATTGCCCGTGACGTCAGTGCTCGTTTCTTCTTCTTCCTCTGCTCTTTTTTTTTCTCCGCACACGCTGACGGACCGCCGACGCGACGTGCCGATCGACACAATCAACGTCTTCGCTGTCACAATCGTCGTCGTCTCGTTAGCGAAGCGTTCACGATCGTTGCGCGAGCGTCATTAATGAGCGTGTAATAATTCCGAGATATGATGCAAACCGCCAGCGCATCTTATCGGCGGTGTTATGTAAATAACACCGCCCGATATAAACACAAATCTCGCATCATTCATTCGGCCGCGGCCGAGAAACGGCTTGTTTCAGCGCGATTTTTTTTCTTTTGCTTTTCCTTCGCGTATATAGCGGCAACAGCGATTACGAAATCCCCGCGGCGAGTTATATAAATCCTTATCAGGCCTCAGCCAGACGAGATATCCCGTCGACGACTCGAAAACATTCGAGGAAAGTGGTGATACAGCTAAAATTTCTGGAACTTCGACGTGGACGCACCTTTCTGATTAAAGGTCTTATTGCCTCGCGCTTAATGCAAATCAATTAATGATGTTAATTATTGGCGCCTGATAAGATCTAATTAACATTGAATAGCATCGCGGCTCGAGAACGTGACCGGTGTTGGGTTTCTTCGACGTTAAAAATTTATACGTGTGCAACCATTCTCAAGACTGAATTGTTCGATCCGAAAGGATGACGCATAGCGCATATGTCGTTTCGCCTCGATAACACTGGCGATAATGCACCTACACCTCGGCGAGTCGGCGCTCCCTATCGCCGGCCGTGTTATCGCTAAGAAAAAGCGATAAAATAACGCGCCATTCGTGCCGACTCAGCGGCTGCGACGATAATAATGATCATTGTTTATGCCACAGAGATTAGAGGGGATAGCTGCAGAGAGTCGAGAAATACAAGTTTCTCTCGCCGCCGGTCTGTCGCGTAATACGAGTTCGCAAATAGATAATTTTTTTTTTTATTTAAATCCTGCGAATTGAATTAAAAATCACAATTACTGCGAAATTATAGTAGTAATAATAGAACTAACTACAAATAATACAAATTGATAGATGGATACTTCGTAATACATATACAAGTTATAGTAACGGTTCGATAGGATGACGACCGAGTCGATTGTCACGTAATTGCGCACGACGAAGACACTCGGGACGCATTTGAAGTGTTTCAACGTAACTCGCGTCCTCGGTAAGAACCTTCAAAATTCGACGTCCGCGTTTATTGATCCAAATTATACGGCCCGGCGTATCTCGTATCGGCGGTTAAGCGATACTCGCCACGTTGCTTAAATTGTTGAAAAACACAGTGCCGGCGCTCCGCGCCGCGATAACCGCGTAGAATTCGCGCCGTCTCTCTATATACGTGACTCGGTGCATTTTATTACAAAATAATCGTGAGATCTCCGCGCGACGTCACGTCAGCCCTGATACACCCAGTCCTCATTCGCATTCGCAGTAGTTGAGATACTCCGATAAGAAATAATCGCTAATACAGTACGGAGTACTGTTCGTTCCGATCCCCTCCGCGCGGCTGTGTAAAACCGGCTGTTCATTGCGAAGAGTAGTGGGCGCCGGGCTGATGCGAGAGAGCTGCGCGCGCGCGCGCGCGCTCGCTCGCTCGCATGCACACAGCATGCAGCCTCCCACCCGTCCTCCCCCCCCGAGCCCCTGACGCTCCGAAACCCTACCCCGCGCGCGTCCCTCTCGCGCTCCGCCGGATCCCGGTCGCTGCCTACGTGTCCCCCTAGGGCACTCGGCGGCGCGCATGCGCAGCCTCGCGATTATGACGTCATGCACCATGACGCCACAACGTCCGATTGGCGGAGCGCGTCGTCGTCGTCGTCGTCGTCGCGTCGTCGTAGCTGTTTTTTTAAGGACGAGGGTGTTACGGGACGCGAGGGGCGGACAGCTTGGCAATGGCTCTTTGGCGAGCGGGGTCGAGAGGAGCGCGCGCGTGTGAGAGAAAAAGAGAGCGAATGAGAGAGAAAGAAGGACGGAATGAGTGAGAGAGAGAGAGAGACCTGGAGCATACGGGGATCGACAGAACAGGGGAATCGTGCGAGCGGCGCCGGACGCGGCCGAACAAATGCGAACGAGGCGCGAACGAGCGAGAGAAAGGTTGCCGGGATCGAGGGAGACGGAGCTAGGTCGAGAGGTGGGAATTCGACGGTCTAGTCTAGCTCGGCTTTACCGCCGCATTCTCGAGCGTTCGTCTCGTCGTACGGCAGTCAGACGGTGGAGCGCACGTCTCGTCGCGCCGAGATCCGTGTGTAATTTCGCGTGTTTGTCTCTCGCGTTTATCGCTCGCCGAAGGTAGAAGAAGAGAATCGAAGAGGGAGAGAAAGAGAAAGAGAGAGAGAATATTACGCGACAACGGTTGTCGTGATCGCGTGTGTGGCCCCGCGGTGCTCGCGCTTGCGGTGCTTCGCCGCTTCCTTTCCCGGTGCGTGCGAGACAGTGAGAGATATATAGAGCACACGGATTCGTGTATACGCGGGCCTCCTCGAGGGTACGCGCGCGCGCGAGTTCCCCGGAGAGTGGAGTGACGCCGCGGCGATTCCCGCCATCGTTCGGGCGCCATATCGCGGGATCCTCCTTCGCGATTCTCGTCGGCGAGTCGAATAGTCGAACGCTCCGGTTCCAGGGTGGTGTACCCTGCCGCCGTGAGTCGGGGCGTCGTCGGGCGTCGCTATACGCGTTCGTCCTCTCGCGGCTCATGTGCTCGCGAGCCGCGACGACGGAGTGCGCGCGAGACGGGAGGTGGTTGACGTTATTGTCTTCGTCGTTATTTCAAGCGGCGGTTTTTATTATTTCTCGGACGAGTAGTGCTCGGGCGTGCGGCCGGAATCAATTCTCGTTTCGCGAAGCGGAGTGATTCGGAGATTAGCGGAGGAGAGAAAGGAAGAGATACAAGTGGTAGACAAAGCGGACGATTAAACGCAGGGATAACTCCGACACAGTTCGCGGTTAACGAGATAAGAACCCGAGGAGAGATATATATATATAGTATATATATATATATATATGTGTGCGCGAGACAAACAGTGGATGTGAAGTGATAAGTCACCGAGAACGACACAGTGAACGATTGAATACCTCCCCCACCCCTCCACCAGCGTCGCCATCGTTATCAAGCAGCGGGAGCTCGACGCCGAAACCACGTTTTTCGCCGGCAAGATGATGGGCAAACGGACGCAGTGTTATCTGTGCGACCTGCCCAGGATGCCGTGGGCGATGATCATGGACTTCTCGGAGCCGGTGTGCCGCGGCTGCGTCAATTACGAGGGCGCCGACCGCATCGACCTCGTCCTCGAGTCGGCGAAGCAGCTGAAGAAGGCGCACGGCTTCCAGGACGCCCGGCCGTCCGCCTCCAAGACGTACCGCGCGACCGCCGGTCACACCGAGCACAACGGCGGCACGAATCTCGACGTGCTACCGATCCAGAACACGCCGCAGAGCAGCCACACGCGCCATCACAACATCGCCGGTTACTCGCAGCTGCACCACCGCAACTCCATCACCGAGTACACCTCGGGCACGGCGGCGGCGGCCGCCGCCAGGCAGCAGGTCGGCCGTCAGCACGGCGACGAGGGCCACGAGATCGCCAATAGCATAAGAAACAATCCCCCGCGTCTGTCCAACGCCCATTTGGCAGCGGTGGCCGCGCATCAGATGACCCTGCACAATCGCAGCATCACTCAGCTCAAGCGCGGCATCTCGGCGATCGACGAGGACGAACACGCCGAGAAGCGGCTCTCGTTGGAGGAGCAGCATCCGGTCAGGCCGCCGCTGACGCGCGGCGATTCCCTGCCGGCGGTGAGCCTCGCCGTCAGCTACGTCAACGACAGGAGCAAGGAGAAGCATCCGGTGAGAGCGCCCAGCTTCGAGACGGCGACCACCTTCAAGGCCAACGGTGAGTTTTCCCTCCGTTTTTGGGTCGCGCCCCCGCGCCGCGATCGATCGATCGCGGACTGGCGGCGCGGGGTGGGTTCGCCCTCCCCGTATCGCGATCGCAATCTTCTCTTTCTCGAGGGAGATTCTCCCTCATCCTCGTCACGCGACACTCTGGGAACTTTTGGACGAAGCGAAAAACGACTCGACGTGATCCACGGCGACGCGGACGCGCGTGTATCGCATTATTGTTCGATGGCTTCATTTGTTTTGCGAACGAATGGCCAGCTCGTCGTTTAACTCTACTCCGAAACGCTCCACTTTCGGAATGCGAGAAATATTTACGGTATGTAGAGACGAGATAAACCAAGCACGCAGCACTTTAATACCAATTTATGCGAGCGTTTACGAGCAAACGATCTCTCTCTCTCTCTCTCTCTCTCTCTCTCTCTCTCTCTCTCTCTCTCTCTCTCTCTCTCTCTCTCTCTCTCTGGCACTTTTACTTTCAAAACGCGTGTGTTGCTAACACGATCTGCTTGAAGCCTTTGCGAAAATCGATTCTTGGCGTTGCGATTAGATTCCGCACAGATACGATACGTAACTCATTCACGAACCTTTCATTCATGACATAGGATCGTTAGCCACTAATGATTAAGATCTGTAAAAAAAATGACCATATGATCAAAGGCTCGTCTCTTCAGAGTCTATATACATTACAACGAATCTAATTTAACATGATTAGTGGAAGAATGCCCGACAGAAATACAATATAAAATACGAGGTTCTGTCGAGTGTCCTATATTATTATCGAGTGAACGTGATGTCTCTAGAAAATTCTCTTGTATCGCAGCCCTAACAGGAACTGTAGGTATATAAATCATGCCTCGCGTTTTTCTTCAACAATAAACGTTGACGAGTTAAAAGTCTCGGAATATTTCTCGTTTAGCGAGATAAGCCTCATCGATTTACTCCTGTATTTTATACCCGGTGTCAAGTATAACATGTATGTGCGCCAACGTATATTTCTCAAAAAGAAATTGTGTCAGATACTGTCGTTTTTGCTTTCATATAAGAATAAATACACGAAAATCGGGCAAAAAGTCTATCTCGGGTATTCCGGCCTTACGCGACGCGCGCGCGCGCGCTCGACATAATTTTTTTTTTAACGGGCGGTGTTCTGGCGTTTTTATCGGTCCCTATACTATAAATAGTTAAAGAGGAGGGCTGTACGCGCACAGTCATTCGTTCGTGGCCATCTGGCGCGAGGAGGCAACGCACGCACACGCGTGTACGTACGCCGACGAGAGGACGGCGATGTAGGGAGATTGCATTAAAAGGAAGCAACGTCCTCCGTCGCGTCCTCGCGCCGCTCTCTCTCTCTCTCTCTCTCTCTCTCTCCCCTTCCTTTTTCATTCTCCCCCCGCTGTGCATATATTTCTTTCTCTGTCTCTTTCTCTCCCTATCTCTATAGTTCTCTGCCTTCGATCGGCGTCCGAACGCGTACAAAAGAGACGTATATCGAGCACGTGATGGGACGACCAAAAGATACACACACACGCACACACACATACACATTCAGTTGCCATGTCGTGACGTGTTCAATCAGGTGACGTCACGCCGCCGTCGCCGTCTCGCCGCCGTATTTATACCCGATGAATGAGACCGTTGTGTGCCGGTCGCTCAATAACGAGCGAATCCCGCTCGCGAGTGCGAATTTTCGCAGGGCGGCGGGACGCTGCTGCTCTCTCACTCTTTGCGTACGTTTACGCGTTCGCGTCTCGCGTTTACGTTACGTCGCGTCGGCGTTGTGTTACATATTGCCTTGCATTACGTGTTACGCGCGCGTAAGATAAGGGGGAGATCGCGACGAAGCGGCAGGTCCTCTCCCCCCCTTCGTCCCTCCCTCCGTTTCCGCCGTCACTTCGCGAAGCACGCGAAGCGATGATAAAGTCTTGTTTGGGGCACGCTCGCCACCGCGGAGTGACTTCGCGCGCCGCGTCCTTCTTCTCCTATACGTCACGGCGCGATATAGAATCGCTTCGCGCGGCCGATTAGTCGCTACGATTTTGCCTTTTAATGAATTATGGAATCGACGACGGCGGCGAGCGTTGAACCGGCGACACGAAGGAGATCGGAGCCACGAGGGCTGTCACGCGCGCGCGCGCGAACATCAGCAATTATGAATCGTCTTCGCTGTTTCCCCATTGTCCTCCCGCGAGAACATACATATTCTTGTTGAAATAGATATAAAAAAAAAAGTTTATTCCTTTCCTGCACGGAGAGACGAATGTGTATTAGTCTGTGGAGAGCAGTCTGCGATTATATCGCGGAATTTTTCGTGACGTCACTTCTACTATTCTGACGAACGATCTTCTACCTGAGATTTCGTCTGTAAATTATTAATGTGAGAAAACGCGAGAAGTCTCGTCGTCCGGAAAGCCTGTCCGATCAGAAATCAAAATGGGAAGATCTTCTCTACGAGAGAGAGAGAGAGAGAGAGACTCGTATTTCGACACGCGGATGGCCTTGCGCGCGCATCTCATTCGATCGTACTCCGTTGCATATCACATCCCAAGCGAGTACGTCGCACCTCTCTCCCTCCCCTCCCCCCCCCACACTTATTGATGCAGCTTCTTCCACCATGGACCGCTCTTTTCACGCGCGACGTGTTTCGTGACGCGCGCCGCGCTTTTCGGTTCCGTCTTCTCATCTCGTGTGCTTTTCTCTCTCTCTCTCTTTCTCTCTCTCTCTCTCTCTTTCCGTCTGCCTCACCACGTCGCGTCGCATCGCGACGACGAAACCGGTCCCGAGATTGCCTCCTCTGTTTGTCGCGGCGCGCCGTGACATTTCGCCGGGATAACTGTAGCGTGCCCCCCTTTTCTCACTCGCCGGCCGCTCCGCTTGCTTTTCGCGCACGGCGGAGATACGCAACCCATTGACAATACGGCGACGATGACGGCGACGTCGGTGTCTCTCGCGTAATCCTACCCTAACCTTACCTCAACCCAACCTGGCTGTACGCGCGCGCGGGCGGCACGGTGACCTTGCTCGCCGACCGTTATTTCGACACTCTAAATTGGCGGGAGCTTTTTAGCGGGGAATGAGTAGATATGTAAACAAGTTATCCGAATTATTTGAAAGAAAATCATCCGCCATTCTTATGCTTGCAGCCTCAACGTGCCTTCTGTCTACTCGGAAATTCGTTGTAGATCACTTAGCTCCTCTTACGCGAGAATCCACATAAATTCTCATTCGAAAGACAATTAAGAATGCTCCGTTTCGATTATAAAATAAAATCTGTGTATTTTCTCTCTTTAATCTATCAGACGTCTATATACGTTGTGTGTGTTCTGAAATGAAGAAATGTGTTCCGCCGAGCCGGAGCTGATAAGGTTAACAATGTTTCTCGATTGTCCATGAGTAATAAATCTCGGAGGACGATAACCTGGTGGAGATTGGAAACGCGTGTTCGCGCACGCGATGTTTTCGAGACACCCGGTGCAATGACGTAGAACGCCACGCAAACAGCTGAATATATAATATATTGTCGCCGTCTGATATCAGTCGCGTTATCTCACCGCGATAACGGGCTGCAAGCTAATCAGCGATCGCGAGCCGTCGCTGTTATCGCTATTATTTAATGCGAATGCGAACGAACTGCGCGCGTGTGCGCGCGCGCGCGCTTTATTAAAATATTTTGAATCGCCTAGCCTAATAAATGCGACGATACCGTCGATTACAGCGATATCGTAGAAATGTCCCAAAAATAACTGGTCAATTATATATCAGAAGATACTTTATATCGTTATTCAGGGAAATCTATATCTTCATGAAAAATCTCGTGGAACGCAACGTTCTTCGAAACTTGATTGCGTGAGTGTATAATAATATCATCGCGTTTTTGTCACGAATTTTAAGACCATAAATAAGACTCGCATGAAAGGAAGTTAATTAAAAATGTTTACTTCTCGTGTTTCCCGGTGTTTTTATAAGAAGTTCATCGCTTTCGGGAATATTGGCGATTACCCCGACGATGCCGGTATGCGGTTACACGTCCTGTTACCGTCGTGAAAATGCCATTGTAACGAAGTAATATCGATGGAAAAAAAGCCCATCAGAGAAGCGGCATTTGCTTGTTTTTTCTGCCGAGCTTTTTTTATCCTTGAGGTTACTGTTTCCGTTCAAAAGACAGCGTTCACGTTTTACGTATACGCGAGTTCCGATAAAAATAGATTAACGCTGGCAAAGATTGGGGTCTGGAAATAAACGCGAAGATTGTGAGAGAGGGGGAGAGAGAGAGAGAGAGAGAGTGTGAGCGAGCCTTTGAGATCCGGAGAAATTCCGCTTGTTGTTCGATTCGGCCATCGATTATTGATCTTTCGCAACTAAATGCTTACAGGTTCTGCTCGACGACGTATTGCCGATTTATAGACCGCGAGAACAATTTCAGTAGTAATCGACGAATGCGAATATTGCGTGTATCTCTAAGGAATTGAAATATAATTTTCGCTTTTTAAAGCAAGCAGGAAATATGAGAAATGTTTAGCTTCGCGCGTAAATAAGAGTAACACGCGTAACAAATTAAAAATTGAATGCGAATTTTATAATTTAATATCATAATTTCATAAGTTTTACGATTGAATAAAAAATATTTCTCTTGACAATCTCCAAATTCGACAAATAAGTCGTCGTCGAAGTTTCATTTCCCCGAATGACGTTATAAATTACCACGATCTCGAAACTCGAAATCAACCATTCCTCGAGTTTGTATCTACGCGCGTTACTCTGCGCACTGTCATTCATCATCGGAGCCCGCCGTTATACACAACGAGCGGGTGCTCTCGCGTGTGTTGACAGTATCGTTTTCCTTAATGGAAACCAAATCTCGCAAATGGACGTAGCTGTAACTCCGCAAGCCTCCACGCCCATTTTGATCCTTCGTCGCACGTCCTGCTACAGTCTAAAAATTCTCAAACGTTTCAGTGACGGCCAACGTCAGGTTTGCTCACTTTTCGTTTTTTT